TTCAGACGTGTGCTCTTCCGATCTATTTGTTGAAAAGTTAAAAATGATAGGCATTGTTATAAAACGTTTTAATATTTTATAATTTATAGCAATCATTTTGATTCTTTCCAACAAAATTATTTTAATTACTAAACAAAAATTATTTTCAGATCTGGATCCAGCAAAATTGTTCTTTCCGTGTATATCTTTTCTCCGAAGGATAATGGAAAATCACGGATGTTCTAAAACGCACGCACAATACTTTGTTCGTGTGCACTAATAGAAATTACTCCATGCCGAGTTTAATCAATTTGCCCGTAATTATCTACCTCGAACATTGATCACGATTCGCCGTTGTGCCGAGGCGTTTTGCAGCTCGAATTCGAGCCAACTCCCATCGTTGCTCATTAGCGATTCACGGACATGAATAATTCGGACGTATGTTCGATAGTACGTGTAATGTCGCGTTTTAACATTTGAAATAGCGATTCCGCACCAATATACGGCTCTAATGGGCTCAAAAGACATTTGTACACGGATACAGCACAAATATTTGCTCGTTCCTATCAAAAAGCGATAAATAGGAAATTTAATTAAAGTTAAGCTCGCTACGTCAGAACGAGTGCGCGCCTCGTCGTAAAAGTCATCGATTCATGAAAAAGCCGGGGAAGAAGACTGGAAGGCGTCTATATGGAAAGAATGAGTTTGCTGCAGAAATCGAAAATTTAGCTGGCGGCAGCTCTAAAAATTTTATTGAACCATCAAAATAAATTATGTTGAAAGCTTGATATTGATGAGCAATGCTGCAGAAAAATTTTGATATTCTAGCAGCTCATTTAACTCTTTAACATAATTATTTTCATCGTCCAATAAAATTATTTTAAGATGAATATCCTCGCTTTTTAGAATTTTTCGATAAAACTGCACTTTCCGTACAAGCTAAAACTTATACGGAAAGAACAATTTTGCTGAATCCAGATCTGAAAATAATTTTTGTTCAATAATCAAAATAATTTTGTGCGAGAATCAAAATAATTGCTAGCATATCAAAATGTTTTAATCTTTAAACCACCACGCGCAAAAAAATCACATACTAATCACAATGTCGGTCTGACAGACCGCTATTATGCTCTCGCTAATTTTATAAGTTAATTATAATAAAAATGTATGTTTTCTGAATACTTGTTGATGGGGAAAAGAAAAACAATGTTTTAATGTGAGGGTTAACATAAAATCTCATATACAATAGAAATAAAATATATTTAAATAGTGACAAATAAGAAAATTGTTGACAAGCAACATTTCAATAGCGGTCTGTGAGACGGATATAGTGGTTTAAAGGTTAATAGCAATGCTTATCAGTTTTAATATTTCAACAAATTATTTTGATGATTCAACAAAAAATTATTTTCAGATCTGTATTTAGCAAGATTTTTAAACCTTTCAACAAAATTGTTTTCTTTCCGTGCAAATTTCCATACATACTAAAACACACGCAGCGATGCGCGATACCCAGCTCTTTCCAAGGCATCCACATTTAATAACGCGAAAAAGAAATGTTTTACTTGTATCCTCCCTTTTCTTTCCTATAAAGAATCCATAGTGTAATCGATCTCGAATTATTACGTCGTGAGCTGAGACACGGATAATTCCTGCAGTGAGAAATTCCGAGAATGCAAAATGTCACGGGACGCTCGACGCGATTTCAGGAACGCGCATTTTTACGTACATATTCGCGCGCGCGCTCGCCGTCCGATTTCTTTTTTCCCATGCAAAAATTTAAACTACGACGTTTATTATGGACGCTGCATCTATAAACTTGTCCTTTATCCGGATTCATCGGACGCATTCCGTCCCGCACGTGGCGCGCGACGAGCGGCTCGCGTGGGTATACGCGATCAAGTGCGATAAGAATAAAGATGAGGCAGATGAGGAGAGAGGAAAAAAAAAATAATGTGCCGCACTTCGCCGCGCAGTAGAGCTTAATAGTGCCGATATTGTCGGCCGCGTAAAAGCACATGAATAAGTGTATCGGCCCGATAGCGTCGCGCCGCGATACCGCGCGTGCGATAACGCGTGAAAGGGGGGTGAGTCGAAGCCGCCGCTGATGCAGGCTGGTCGATTCCCACATGGCTTAAACACCGCCGGACACAATCGTCGGACACCGCCGACACTGAACGTCACCCCTCCTCCTCCTCCGCCCCTCTTGACCTCGACGCGACGCACCGCTCTCGGCCGCGGGCGATCTCGATCGTTATAGCGATGCTCCGATATTAACCTGATTTCACTCGGCGATCTTTTATCGCGACTGCCAAAGAGACCGATAGCTCCACTAATAAAGTGCACGTAGTAAATCGTCTGTCATTTGCATCCGCCGACCCCTCCCCCCCCGCTCTCTCTTTCTCTCACTGTGTGTGTCTGTCTTTGTCCGTCTCTCCGAAGTCTCGCTGAAGTCCCTTCCGAAGCGATTCCCTTCCCGGCCTCTGAATGTCACGCGACCGATCGATACTTGTACTCGGAGACAACGAAGATGAAAGAGCGTATTATCAGCGCATAACAGGACGGGAGGACGCGGGGATAAGGAGATCGCGGAGAGCGACCCACCGGTGTGCACTTTTCGCGCTAATTAATCCTTATGCGGTCGTTTGCTCGTTAAGCGGCGACTTCGGAGAATTCTTTTACGGGCGTCCGGAGAGAGAAATTTTTTAACATTCCCCCCC